TCACACTATACTGTAATTCATACAACTCAGTCTATACAGGTCCAAATGCATTGATTCCAAAGGCATATGGTAGCTAAGACATCCATCTACATTTCATCAGAAGACACCAACACCCAAATCCAAAGAAATCCCAGTCAAAATAGCCAAATACAAGTGCAGTTCTCACATTCTGATCAACCCAGAACAGCAACAGTAAAAATGCCATATCTCACTCTACACTACTCCAAATGACCTGAAATTTTACAGGCACCTCAACCACATCAATACCTACAACGTTCATGTTTTGAGAAAAGGCCAATTCAGCCTCTAAGCCTGAGATACAAAACCGGACAGAAAAGGGGGTTTTGAAACCCTAACATTTCACATTTCAATCCAAATCCAAAATTGGTTACAATTATCAACAATTCACTTCCACTAGAGTCATAACCCCTCATTATCAACCATCATAAACAACCACAACACCATGATCACATTAAACCAGAAAATTTCTCAAAAAAATAAAAACTTCACCAATTCATCACCAATCAAGAAATAATTCACATAATCCATCACTTTAGCCCACATTAGGCACAAATTAACCACCATTAAGTATAGGAGGAAGTTTAAGCATCACTTACCTAATAAACAAGAGAGGGGAAGTTGTAGGACACCTTAGCTCTCCAAGAAAGTTTCACCAAATCACTCACTAGCACTAACTAAAGGGATTTTATGGAGTGAAATCAAGTTTAGTTGGTTGAGTTGTTGAATTGGAGCAAGATGAAATCAAAACTTGAAGAGGTTTTCTCCCTTCTTGAGCTCAAGGTGGCCGGCCAACAAGAGGTAAGAAATGGTAATTTTTTTGTGAATTTTAAAGATATTTAATCAAATGGGTCAAAAGTAAAAAAAAGTGAATAGTGCTCCATAAGTCAAATCCAATGATATAGTGACACTTGTCACTCTCATAAATGCAATCTTATCTTTTCTTTTCCTCTCACATCAATCACTTCACATCCTCTACTTATCTCTTAACACCCGATAAATTTTACACAGTATCCGAAACTTAACCTTATTGGCCGAATTTTTCTGAACTTTTCGCACTAGCGGGTCCCACGTCCAATATATATTCTTAATTTTCTAAAAACTCTCCAATATTAGAAAAATTATCTAAAAACTATAATTACTCATAAAATCCACCAAAAAAATATTCCTAAGCCAGAAAATGCAGAAAACATGCAATTAAGGGGAAATAAACCCTAGGAAAAATATTAGGAAAATACGGGTTCTCACAACTTGCACAGGGATGCGTTACTTGAAGTTTTGACTAAGACTCGGATTCCTAATGATATTTCGGTTGACAATTTCTCGCACATAGTCGAAAATGTATTGACTGCTAAACAAATCACTTTTTTTGCTGAACAACTGCCTGCAGCAGGAACTGGTCATAACAAAGTCTTATATGTAGCTGTGAGGTGCAATGAGAAAATGTTGCCTAAAGTACTGATCAACAATGGGTCTGCCCTCAATATTTGTCCTTGGAGCACTTTGGTGAAGTTAGGGTTGCAAGATGTCAAATTAAAACCCTTAGAAACCGTAGTTCGAGGATTCGATGGAGCCCAAAGGGAGTCCATAGGAGAAGTAAATTCGGTTGTCGAAATGGGGCCCGCTCAATTTCAGATAGCCTGCCAAATTATGCATTTTTTCAGTGTCTATAATGTTTTACTCGGGCGGCCATGGATTCATAGCTCTGGCACTGTGCCCTCTTTCTTGCATCAAGTATTGAAATTTGTAGTGAACGACTAGTTGATAACCATTTTTGCTGAAGAAGATTGCATTGTAATTGCCGATTCCGAGCCTGAGGAGGATGGTAACCGAAATGCTTCAGTGTCTTCTTATCGTACAACTGACATTGTCTCTGTGAGTTGGATAACAAGTGAGGCTTCAAAAGATGAAATGGTTTTGCCAGCGGCCAGTGTTATGATGGCCAAGGAAATGATTCGCGGAGGATATGAATTTGATAAGGGATTGGGACGCAATCTAAAAGGCATTCTGAAGCCTGTGAAACTCATCGAAAAGAAGGACCTATTTGGTTTGGGATTCCATCCGACTGCCAAAGATATAAAAGAGATGAAAGCACGCAAGAAGGCAGAAAAGGAAGGCAAGTTAGGTGCTTTAGACATTCCACCACTACGCTATACCTTTCCAAAGCCGGCTGAAGTTATTACATCTGAATTTAGCCCAATTGACGAAGTGGAGACAAGTCTGACTCATTTGTTTGTGGGAGCAATATCCGAAGACAGTCCGTCTGATGATGCCGAATTCCCAGACATTCCCCAAGGAGCTATACACAACTGGACCGCCGAGTGCTTTCCCGTGCAAAAAGAGTTTCGGTAAATCTACAGGGGGTTGTCATTACCAAAATTCATGAAAACTGTTTCTTGCATATGTAAATAGTTTAATGAAAGCATCTTTAGCAATTAAACTTTTGTCTTGTTTCACTTTGATTTGAAGCTTTATGAAAATGCACAAGTAGTTTTTATCACAATTGTTCGTTTACTTGTTTATTTACGTGTTTTATTTGCTTATTGTCTTGAATTTCTTAATTCTTTCAGATGGCCAAAAATAAAATTATTTGACCCTATGGATTTCACTGTTCTGGAATCCAATGATGACAATCTCTATATCACTCATGACTTGGAAATTATGCAATCTGAATTGCAAGACGAGAGTGATAATGAGGAGGTATATGATTTTTTCTCAAAAGATCTCGAACAATATGAGGAGAAACCTAAACAGAACCTAGAAGAAACAGAAATTGTCAATATTGGCACTGAAACTGAGGTTAAGGAGATACAAATCAGCATTCATTTGAACGAAAAGCAGAAAAAGGAGATGATTAAATTTTTGTCCATGTTTCAAGATGTATTTGCATGGTCTTATGACGATATGACTGGCATTTCGACTGATATAGTGGTGCACAGATTGCCTACAGACCCAACTTTCCCACCAGTGAAGCAAAAGTCTCGTAAATTCAAACCAGACATGAGTTTCAAAATAAAAGAGCAAATTGAAAAGCAGCTTAAGACTAATATTATCATTGTATCTCATTACCCTGTTTGGCTCTCAAATCCAGTCCTTGTTCCGAAGAAGAATGGAGAAGTACGAGTCTGTGTTGATTATAGGAACCTTAACAAAGCTAGTCCGAAAGATGACTTTCCTTTGCCAAATATCCATATCATTCTAGACAACACTGCTGGGCACGAAATTGAATTTTTTGGTGATTGTTTCGCTGGATATCATAAGATCTTAATGGCCGAAGAAGATAGGGAAAAAAGTGCTTTTATCACCCCTTGGGGCACATTCTGCTATCGAGTAATGCCGTTTGGTTTAAAGAATGCTGGATCTACTTATCAAAGGACCATGACTACCTTGTTTCATGATATGATCTACCAGGAGATGGAGGTTTATGTGGATGACATTATAATCAAATCCCGAAAAACAGAGGACCATTTGATTGATCTAAAAAAGTTGTTTGACAGGTTGCGGAAGTACAATTTGAAGCTAAATCCTGCGAAATGCGCCTTCGGAGCACCAGCTGGTAAACTGTTGGGATTTATTGTCAGCAAAAAGGGCATAGAGATAGACCCGGCAAAGATCAAGGCAATTCGAGACATGCCAGTGCCAAAAACGCAGAAAGATGTGAAAAGTTTCTTGGGGAAGATTAATTTCATTGGAAGATTCATTGCCCAATTAACCGCTACGTGCGAGCTACTATTCAAGTTGTTAAAAAAGAATATGCCATTGCATTGGAATGAAGAGTGCCAACAAGCTTTTAACAAGATTAAGAATTATTTGCTGCACCCTCCAGTCCTAGTGCCACCCAAACCGAGCCGGCCTTTGATCATGTACTTATCCGTGCTCGACGGAGCAGTAGGTTGTGTTCTGGGGCAACACGATAATTTCGGAAGGAAGGAGCAAGCCATCTACTATCTTAGTAAGAAATTCACCCAGTATGAGGCTAATTATTCATTCATTGAGAAAAGCTGCTGTGCATTGGCCTGAGCAGCTCAAAAGTTGAGACACTACCTGCTAAGTCACACCACATATCTCATATCCCGTTCTGATCTTCTGAAATATCTCTTGGAGAAGCCAATGCCAACTGGGCGTCAGGCCAAATGGCAGATGATCCTTTCAGAATTTGATATTGTTTTCACTTCGCAAAAGGCCGTCAAGGGACAAGCTATAGCCGATCATTTGGTAGAAAATCCAAACGGCGATGACTATCAACCGCTCCATACTTATTTCCCCGATGAGGAGGTTTTACTTGTTGGTGCTGCAAAAGATATGAGCGAGCGGTGCCCTGAGTGGAGGTTGTTTTTCGATGGTGTCGCTAATTCTTTCGGAGTTGGAATCGGAGCAGTTCTTGTGTCTCCAGAAGGGAAGCATTATCCTGGAGTGCTAAATTACGATTTGCCTGTACAAACAATATGGCCGAGTATGAAACCTGTATTTTTGGTCTTAAGATGGCTTTGGAAATGGAAGTTAAAGAGTTGATAACTTTCAGTAATTCAGATTTACTTGTGCACCAAACGTTGAAGCAATGGATAACCAAAGATTCCAAAATCTTGCCAAACCATTGTAATTTGCTCACTCTGGCTAGACAATTTCAAAGTTTGGAATTCAGACATCTTCCACGAGCCCGAAATGTATTTGCCGATGCCTTGGCCACCTTATCTTCTATGATACAATATCCGGACGAACTAGGAATCGAGCCAATCCGGATCCAACTTCAGGACAAGCCTGCTCATTGTTGGGTCGTAGACAAAACATCTGGCAATAGCCCTTGGTACAATGATATTAAGGAGTTCATCAAAATCGGGTCTTACCCTCCAGAAGCTACTGCAAATGACAAGGGTTTCTTGCGTAGAATGGTCTCGAAGTTTTTCTTAAATGGAGAGGTATTGTACAAAAGGACCTCAGATTTGAACCTCTTAAGGTGCATCGATGAAAATGAAGCTTAATACATGATGAAAGAGGTACATAGCGGTGTTTGTGGACCTCACATGAATGGACATTTGTTAGCCAAGAAAATCATGAGAACTGGGTACTTTTGGCTTACCATGGAGCGCGATTGCATAGATTTTGTCCGGAGATGTATTAAATGTCAAGTACATGGCGATGTTATACGCGCTCCTCCCACCGAATTGCATAGCATGATTGCCTCATGGCCCTGCTTAATTTGGGGTATGGACGTGATCGGCACAATTGACCTTCCTGCTTCAAATGGACATCGATTTATATTGGTGGCAATTAAGTACTTCACCAAATGGGTCGAAGCGGAATCATTCAAGCATGTGACAAAGAAAGTGGTGGCAAATTTCTTAAGAGATCACATCATATGCCGATTTGGGGTGCCAGAAACATTGATTATAGACAATGCCAAGAATCTCAACAATGACATGGTGGATAGGTTGTGCGAACAGTTCAAAATCAGATATCGTAACTCTGCCATCTATAGACCGCAGATGAACGGAGCCGTGGAGGCCGCAAACAAGAATTTGAAGAAGATCATTTGCAAGATGACTGAAAAGCATCGTGACTGGCATGAAAAACTTCCTTATGCACTAATGGCATATCGGACTTCTATCCAAACATCAATTGGGGCAACCCCTACTCGCTCATGTATGGAATGGAAGCTGTGCTACCTGCCGAGGTCGAAATCCCTTCATTGCGTATTTTAATGGAGACCAAATTGGAAGAGGTTGATTGCATAAAACAGCGTTATGAACAACTGTCCTTGATTGATGAGAAACGGCTTAATGCTATTTGTCATGGCCAATGTTACCAAAAACGTATGGCCCGAGCCTACAACAAGAAAGTCCATCGGCGTACATTTAAGGAAGGCAACAAAGTACTTAAACGAATCTTGCCAGTGCAGGATGAGGCCAAAGGCAAATTTGCTCCAAATTAGCAAGGGTCATTCATTGTTCAAAAGGTATTACCTGGCGGAGCACTCATTTTGGTAGAGATGGATGGACAGACATTCCCTCAACCTATCAACTCAGACATGTGTAAGAAATTCTTTATTTGATTATGCAAATTTCTTTTAGGATATCACGCAAGGGACGAGACAAAAGTCAGGCCATTTTCCTTTCCAATCAAAACATTTCATCCCTAACTATCCCCTTTGAGCTATCAGAACAATAATTTTCATTTGACAGCCCCTGAGAATTGCAAACCCCATACTGGGCAAATTTATTTTGAAAGAGAGATGGAAAAGGAAGAACCCCACACTGGGGCAAATTTAGTTTTAAAAGAAAAATGCAAAAGTGAGAAAAATGCAATGAAAAATGCAAAGAGAGAAAAATCCACTCAAACTGGGGCAAATCTTCCTCAGTTTCATTCAAAATTGAAGATAGTTTCAAAGTGATGCAATCTCAGTTTATTTGACACCTCTCATCAAATTTTTTGGTTTCAAGCCTTAATTTTTTTTAAAACACCCCACCTGACCTCATTACAAAAGCCAAAAGTCCTGACTTTCGTCATTTGCTGTATTTCTATTAGGGATTTCGCTAATCAACTGGCAAGTGATGTCCGTAATGCCTTCACTTAAGCTTATAAGGGAATCGCGTTTTACTGATGCCAAAAATCTTCAACTCACACTCCTGAGTCGATCATGGTCGAGCTTTTCCATTGTTCCTTAGATGAAAACCCGAAAGGGCACCTCAAAAAAAGAAGAAAGAGAAAAAAAAACAAACAAAAACAAACAAAAAAAAAGAGAAGAAAAAAAAACAAGGGTAGGGGGCAACCTTGGTGAAAACCCGAAAGGGCGCCAAGGTAGGGTTCTGCAATGAGTGAACACGAGGAGGAACAGCTGGTGACTTGGTTCATTTAGATTTCTTCTCATTTTTGTAACACTTCTGCCAATGTTGAATTCTAGAACAAAGATATCCAGAGTTTTAAATATGACATCTGTTGGCCGAAAGCTGTGTCACTTTGTAAAAAATACTCTTTTGCAAATACATTCTTAGGAAGCTCATTTTTTCCAAATTGCTTGCATTCATGGCATTTTATAGGCCTTAAGCACAGATGGTTATGTTTGCATTCTTGTGCCTATTCATTCCTGCATGACATGTGAATTTTCTTGCATACTTCATTTTTTTTACCATTGAATTTTGGTGAATAACAATCCCCGTGGTTGAATTCTAGAACAAAGATATCCAGAGTTTTAAATATGACATCTGTTGGCCGAAAGCTGTGTCACTTTGTAAAAAATACTCTTTTGCAAATACATTCTTAGGAAGCTCATTTTTTCCAAATTGCTTGCATTCATGGCATTTTACAGGCCTTAAGCACAGATGGTTATGTTTGCATTCTTGTGCCTATTCATTCCTGCATGACATGTGAATTTTCTTGCATACTTCATTTTTTTTATCATTGAATTTTGGTGAATAACAATCCCCGTGGTTCATTTCAAAAGCATGCTTGGATTCAGTTATCTTTTGGGTACAGTTAAGAATCAGCAAAGCCGGCTACACAGGCTTCACAATACGGCAAAACACATATTTGGTCAGTTTGAAAATCGGAAAAGTTTTGGAGTGAGAAATCCAACTCAATCAGATGCCGTAGCGAAAGTTGGCGAAGAAGGAAAAGGAAAAGGAGGAAAAAAAACTCATGTTTACACGATTTTCAAAGGAAAACGGATCAAATGATGGTGGCAATTTCTTTGTTTTTTCTCTTTTGTAGAAAATTGCATGCATAGATGAAAGCAATCACACCTCACACTGGAATCGGTGTCGAAAAAAGTTTTCCAGTGAACAAAGGCGAATCGAAAATACTGCAAGCAAAATTGATTAAAAGGTACAACAACATGGCAATGCATAATCAACCATCAACTCAGAGGCAAAAACTTAACCTCTACTAAAAATTTTGGGCTATTGTCAGGTAAGTACACTGGAATTTCCTGATTTTAAATTTCTTGTTTTGGGTTAGTCCCGATTTTAAATTTCTTGCCCCGGGTCAGTCCCGTTTAAATTTCTTGTTCAGGTCAGTCCCGTTTAAATTTCTTATTTGGGTCAGTCCCATTTTAAATTGTTTGTTCGGGTCAGTCCCGTTTTAATTTCTTGTTTGGGTCAGTCCCATTTTAAAATTTTGTAAAAGGGGTCAGCCCCCATTTCTAAGGCGTCCATCGTTCGAGTCATTCACAGCCGAATAACACAGGTGTTGTATTTGGTGTCTACTTTTTTGTCTCAAGTTTTTCTAAAACTCAGACAAAGAAGGGCAAACTGTAGACACCAAATTTTTAATGTAGTTTTATTTACTATTATTTTTTGTTTTTTATGTTAATTTTTATTTATTTTAGTCTTTTATTTTATTTTAGCATAGAATTTATCGAAAAAAAAGAGAGAGAAAATCATTCACAAAAATTTGCTTTATTTATTTTAAATTCAAGTTTATTGTTATTTATTTAAAAAAAAAGGAAAATCAACACAAAAAAAAGAAAAAAAAGAAGCAAGCTCATGCACCTGAGCTACACAGGATCCGTGCCCATTTTTTCATATAACATTTCAAGCAGAAAATGAGAAATGAAAAAAAAGATCAGGAAGGCACCGCAACTCCTTGTTTTTTGTTCACCGTCGGATAATCCATAAAACTAATGATTTGGCTACCATCAGAACCCTTGAGAGAAGGGTTTAGTGTTATTGTTTGTTATAAGAGAGAGAGAGAGGAAGAGTGACGGCTAGGGCTAAAAAAGAAAGCAACGAAGCAAGGAAACTTGGGGAGGCGGCGAAAGGAGCCAGAAAAAGAAAAAGCAAAGGAAAACAGGAAAAAGGGGCAGCGGCTAGGAAGAACTGAAAAACAGGAGGAAGAAAGAAAAGCTACGGGCGGACTGGGAAGAAAGGCAAAGGGAAAAAGGAAAGGAAGCCGACCATCTGCTTTCGCTCATCCGAACCCAATCCAAAAATCTTCCTTAGGTATCTTTTTGAACTGATTTCTTAGCCCTTTCCGTTTTTCTTCGTGGCTGAGCTGTGTTCTTGCATCCTTTCTTTTTTTTTTTTTTGTTTGGGTCACTGCTGACGCTTGTAGTTGTTCGCTATGTTATGTGTTTTTGTTCATCTCTATTGCTTTAATTTTGTAATAAAAGTGTAATCTTTGATTTGGTGGCTGATTGGGATTGGATCCTTATGGGTCGAACAAGTTGCTATCAGATAAGATTGGTTAAGCTGTCAAAGTTTTCAGAATATGGTTAGAGTTGCATGTTTTCTCCGGATTCTGGTGCTTAAATCCAAAGGTTTTATGTTGTGAGTTAAAAATAATGCTTGGTAATATGGTTGCATGGGTCAGATTTCGATTGGTTGAAGTTTTGTGCATAAAAATCTACTACTGCAACAAGCTTAGAGTTCTCGGCTTGTTGCAGCAGTGCGGAAATTTCGCTTAAGGGTTGCCGTAAACCCAAAGCGTTAAATGTGCAGAAGTTCCTTTAGTTGCGGTAAAAGATGGCTGTTAATACTTTCTTTACTCTGAATCTTTGTTGTGTTCAAGCTTTGGTCTTAGGATATTTTCCTGAAGGCTTAGTTTGGTTTCTTTGAAGGTTTGGGTTTTAGGATGTCTCATGGTCAGGGTTGTTAGTTTTTAGCTGATCGTGATATTAGTTAAATGGGGAATTGTATTATGGGTTGTTTGCTTGAATTCATGGCTAGTGTTCGCATGATGAACAAACCTAACCCAGAAAGATAACATGAAAGTTCCGGCAAAGTTTATTTGCTGATGTCTCATCAATTCCTGCCGCCTCCCTTTTGTTGTTGTTTGTGTAGTTTGATGTCTGGTTTTCAGCAGTAAAAGGTTAAGTTGCGCATTTTTGCTAGCTTGGGATTCATTTGCATGATGTATGTGATCAATAAGAAAAAGGGAAAACTTCTGCGCCAAAGATATGCATGCCGCAAGTTTCTTTCTTTTTCATTTTTGCTGCAATCTTTCACACCTGTTGCAGCCGTGACTTGTTCTTTTTTAAACTCTTAATGGTTCTCACCAGAGTCTGAGTTCACGTTTGATTAATTTCTGGTTTTAATTTCGCATTACTTTGGTCATGCATTGCTGCTTTCCCAGTCTCTTGTGCCTTTAGTTCTTTCCCACATTGTATGATTCTATCCCTGAAGTTTAGTTTACCAAGGTTGGGAAATTTGGTTCATGTTCTTGTTGCTAGGGGGGTGGGATTGTTGCTCCTATCAAAATGGTAGGGTGTAGTTCTCTTGGTTTCCTTGTTGTGCGACAGATTTGCATGATGAATAGCTGAAAGATGTAGAAATTTTGTGAGCATGAACTGCAGAAAGTTTCATGAGTTGTTGCAAGCCTTGGTTGTAGAAACAATGTTTCGTAGCTTTGCATGCATTCTGCATGGAAGCTTCCAAAAAATTGCACTTTACTCCCCTTAGCTTCTATCTATGCTACAAAGGCCCAACTATGTGCTATTTTCTTGCAATTAGGTCCTAAAGTAATTGCAATTTCAACCATTACTTGACCCTTTCTTTGCTCTTGGACCCTTGAAGTTTCCAAAATGTTTTAATTGGGCTTGGGTGATTGGTTAATATTTGCAATTGGGTCCTTGGTAGTTTTTTTCTATTTTAGAAATTTGATCAATAATTTACTTTCTTGGAAATTATGCATTATTTGATTTCATTTAAGTCGCAATTGGGAGGGATTTGGTGATTTTGTTTACATTTTACTATTTAATTGGTGCCTT